CGCAGTGAGTGGCCGTCCAGAAGCCGGCGACTGATCTGCCTCGCCCGGGAAGAGCGCAATGATGGTGCCAACTTGGGCCAGTGAAGCAACGTCCTCTGCAACTAGACTTAAGAACAAAAGGACAGCAACTTGTCTGTTCCCCTACCCCAATTCCCCAATAAAAAATCTTTAAAAAAACAAGAAAGATGTCAGACACAAAAGCCTGCCTATTGTATGATTTCATTTAAATTAAATGTCCAGAATAGGTAAATTCATAGAGACAAAAAGTAGATTAATGTTTTTCAGGGGCTGTGGGGAGGGGGTAATGAGAAGTGAGTGTTTAATTGGTATAGGGTTTCTTTTAGGGATGGTGAAAATATTCTGGAATTAGTGGTAATGGTTGCACGACACTGAATATACTAAAATCAATGAATTGTACGTTTTAAAATAGTTAAAATGGTGAATGTTCTATTATGTGAATTACCCTCAAAACAAATCAAAACAATTTTTTCCCAATAAATGTCACGGTTCTACTTGATCTGAAGTCACTTTGCCTATAACCAATAAGGGAAGACAGCCATTCATCATAATTGTGATAAATCAATTAGCAGCACTCCTACCTCACTGACTTGGTATTACTAGTCCGTTCGCTGGATGAACTTTCTGCTCCTTTCTCCCTTCAAAATTCTATCCATCCTTCAAGATGCAGCTCAAATGCCACTTCTTCCTTAAAGGTGTCCATAAGTTCCCATGTTGGAGCACATTTCTTTCTCCTCAGCATGGTCCTGGCACATGGCCTGCACAACTGATCTGGCACTTAATGCATATTCACTACCTTTGTACACATTTCTCTCCTACATTAGGTGCATTAGGTGTAAATTCCTTTAAGGGCAAAGTGAATTTCATGTATCTCTGCATCCTCCTCAAATTCAAATACTATGCCTGACACCCATGAGCATCCTCAAATTAAATTAAAGCGATAAAAAAAAATGCTTCTAAAACCTGTTTCTATTATGTACTCCCACACAAACAACTGTACGAACACAAAAATTCTTCAGAATGCAATGACAACTTGAGGATAAGATATTCTTTCAGTACCTCTCTACTTATTAGATATACTGAATACTGGACTCTTAAATTAATTCATAGGGACAAAAATGTCAACTTTCAGCATTTTTGAGGACCATTTTAGCCTTAAGTACTTAACTGAACAGAATATTAAATAATCTTAATGACAGAGATACTTTAAGAGCTTCAACCAAAAAGCACATAATTCAATAAAATATTACTCTGCCATTGGACATCATTTCCACAATGTTCATATAGTCACAAGACTGATACTTTGCGAGAATATGAAGTGTTTTGTCCTAAATTACAAGATACTTTGTGCCTCGTTTTGAGAAATAAAAACATGGGTAGTAACAATATTTGCACCCTCCTTTGTTATTACCTCTCGTTCTATGGTCTTCCTCCTTAGTAACTTTTTGACACTTGGGAGCTGCTTCTTTAACAACATGGTGGCTTCATTCATTCTTCTGACTTGAGTGATTAAGAAAGATGGAACCTGGAGAAGAAAAAAAGCTTGACTAGAAGGAAAACACTTGAATTAAACCTCCCTAGTAGATTTTGTCTTCAGTTATGATAAATCCTTCTGGCCACTCAGTATCCTGGAAGCAGGAACTGTGGCATTTGTCTTTGTAAAGATGAGAAAAAACTATTAGGATTCCTGCTCAAAAAGAGAGAATGTGTTCAGGAGGAGCCCTTAAAGAATGTACAAAGATGCCACAGGAAATCTGGGATTATATCATCATATTTCTTCCCTGTGACTAAGGGCATTGCTTGCTCATGGAGCCCTTAGGTTTCCTGGGTGCTGGTTGACTTCCAAGGAGTACATCACAGTCATCACACTGTTACTTGCCTTCCACAAGATTTTCTGGTACTTAAGCATTAGGCGGATGATGTGGGCTGCAGTGCTTGCTAACAGTAATTCTTCATAATCAGAATGTTTGCTTCTACTGAAGAAAAGGTTTGGTGCCATTATAGTAGAAATGTTCCATATACTCATTCGGTTTTTTGATTCGTTGGCAATCACTTTATTGAAGAATGCCATGAGGGCCTAAAAAGAAACAGCATAGTGTCACACTATTGTAAATGATCAAAAGGCACCACTGATCGCTTTCATTTATTTCTATCTCCATTCAGGGTACCTCTGGAAAACTGTCAGAATATTGTCAGAAGTTTAGAATAGTTAAATGTCATGTTTCCCATTTACTTGTTTAAAAATGCTAATGAGAAATGTGAACAGTGTATTCAATCCTCTGCTTCATAAAAGTAGCTTTCTTTTTATGAAGTTTATTATATTGGAGTCTATATACATAATAGTTTGCATTTTCTTATTGTCTTTTATATTAAACAAGTTTGACAAATATTAAAATTAAATAGTAAACTAAGAAGAGAAAACACTGCAGCTCAAAACAACATGAAATGCAGTTTTCTCGTGAAGGAAGAAAAGTAATTCTAAAATACACCTTCTGTTAAAACTATTTACTGTTTCCTTGGGGGGCGGGGAATAAAAAAAAATGAGTATCTCATTCCTCAGCCCAAATGTAAATACAATTCAAAATTTAAAAATTTTACTTTTTCGGTGTCATTTTTCTATTGCTTTTCAATTTTGGTATCTTCACCCGACCAAAGAAAAATGCTTACATGCAGCTGTTTTCAGCATTAAAACAAGAGATTTGAAAAAGCTTAATAAAACTTTGGCTGAGTCATCAAAATAAAAATGCTTATCAGACCTTCTGAAATTCACCAAGGGGACTGAAATCCTAAAAGAAGGTGCTTTTCTAGTTTTCCAAGTTTGAATTCTGCTACAGTATTTGTAATGAGAAAATGGGATAGCACATAATAGTAATAATAGTTGACATTTATTTGAGGGTTTATTGTGTGTGAGCCAGGCATTATTCTTAGTAATATATATATATATATATATATATATTACTAAGAATATATATTCTTATATATATATATATAAGAATATATATTCTTATATATATTAAGTATATCTATATATTAAGTATATCTATATCTATATTTATATATATATTCACTTATTTTATCATCAGTCCAAATCCTGTGAGGTAGGTACTATTATTAACATTGTTTTACAGATAAAGAAACTAAGGTGGAGAGGGATTGATAGCTTTGCCCAGCATCAGTTCATTAAGTGGCAAAGCCAGGATTTGAATAGAAGAAACCTGATTCTTGAGCCAGAGCTCTTGATCTCTATACTATATCAACTTCAATCTTATTGTAGTTCTAGTCACAATTTAGAATCAAAAGAGAGAGAGAGAGAGCGAGAGAGGGAGAGAGAGAGAGAGAGACAGAGAGAGACAGAGAGAGAGAGAGAGATTCTTTACCAGTCCCATAATGTTGTTTGATGATCTTCTGTTACAAATGTATTGAATTATTTGATAATTGCTGCATCCTCAGCTACATGAAAGGGGAGATGACATTTTGACCCAGATATCAGAGACCAGATGCATTTTTTTTGATAAAATTGTTTAGACAAAGCCTAAAAGCAAGCTAATAAATTTCCAGCTTTTGAAAAATTACCAAATTATATTAGAAAAAGATATTCTTATGTCATAGCCAACCCCCATCTTCAGGTTGAGGATATAATATAATTGATACATATTATAATTAACATAGATGTTTTCACTATGTAGGAGGAAAGGTCCTCACCAAACTGAAATGTCTGATAAGAGGTGTATTAAAAATTATCTTTGTTTTCAGCATTATATTCACTGGCCTCAAAATTATTGGCTCTTTCCAACTCATCCTTACCTCATTTCAAAGATTCCCAACATCTGTTTTACATATAAATGAATTTCCTATTGTATACAGAATCATTATCAAAACAGCAAAAGAAAATTCAGTTTTTAGGAATATATAGAGAAGAAATGAATTTGAAATAAAGGGACCGATATTTGGGGTGAAGAACTATGGAATAGGGTTCCATCAAATGTTTTATTATATGTTAATGGAGAAAACACTTTCCTGAGCTTAATTTTCCTAATCCGTGAAGTGACAAGATCCTATCAGGTAATCTCTAAAATTTAGAATGTATAATTCTTTAAATTGAATTGAATTTATAACTTGTAAAGCATGAACATTTAAAATTTTTATTTAAATCAGTGATTTAAAATTTCTTCCCCAAGTACACTCATCAGATCTTTTGCCACTAGACTGAAGCGGGCAATTGCAGACCAACAATTATAGAGCTTTATATCTTACAACTTACATAATGATCTCATTTACTTCTGACATTATTCCATTTAAGTCTTTCATCTTCGATTTTCCTATTCCTAACCCTAGCTCCATGCCTGGTATGTGGCAGACACTTAACAGCTCTTAATAGATTTAATGAATGAAATTAAAATGTTCAAATTAGATTCCATGATTTACATTCTTTCTTGTCTTCTATAGAACAGCCGTGGGAATGTGGAAATGAAGTAGGTTTGCAGCATGCTCAGTTGGCTTAGTAAATTGTCATCTCTGTTTTTATTTTTCCAGCTGAGCCAATGACAGACTATAAGGTCAATACAACATACCTGGGCCGTGTCCCTGTTGGCATCAGGCAGTGCCATGACCATGAGGTGTAGGGCTTGAAATTGTACTTTGATGTGAGGCCCTCCTAACAACAACAACAACAAAAAAAACAGAAATAACCACACATTTGGAACACCACAGATGTATTCTGACAGCATTTCTTGCTAATATCTGGTGGCACAGAAAAGCTTTTGAAAGCTCTGGATGGTAAGGAATCAATTTTTGTGCTCAACAGTTTAAATTTGTTTGCTTGGACAAATGTCTCAGTCTATCAACTCCCCTTTCACATCACATGATGCCATTGACGAGGCAGGCGACCAACAAGATCCTCAAAATAATTCTGGATTTGCATAACATTTCCCTTTTCAAAGTACTTTCACAGACCTTGCTTTACTTTTATGCTACAAATAGAAAGCTTGAAGCTCAATTCAAGAGAAAATAAATCTTGCTTCCATACAAAGAAAGAGAAAAGTAAAATTATTGGGAGCACAGATCATAGAACCAGACTCAAATCCTACATCTACTACTTAGTCACCTAGTGATCTTGGTCAGGCTATTTAATCCCTCATTGCTTCTATTTTACCATCTATAAAATGGAGTAGTCATCATACCTACCTCACTGGGCGGTTACAAAGATGAAATGAGTTAAAACTCAAAATGTATTAAAGACTTGTACATAAGACCTGAAACCATAAGACTCCTAGAAGAAAACATAGGTGGTAAGCTCCTTGACATCAGTCTTGGTGATTGACTTTTGAATCTGATACCAAAAGCAAAGGCAACAAAAGGAAACTTAAACAAGTAAGACTATATCAAACTGTAAAGCATCTGCATAGGAAAAGAAACCATCAAAATGAAAAGGCAACCTACTGAATGCGAGTAATATTTGCAAATCATATATCTGAAAAGGGGCTAATAGTCAACACATATAAAGAACTCATACAGCACAATAGCAACCCCCCCAAAAAGATACAATTAAAAAATGGGCAGAAGATCTAAATAGACATTATTCCAAAGAGACACACAGATGGCCAACAGACATGTGAAAAGATGTTTAACATCACTAATCATCAGGGAAATGCACATCAAAACCACAGTGAGAAATCACCTCACACCTGTTAGAATGGCTAATAGCAAAAAGACAAGAAATAGCAAATGTTGGCAAGGACATGGAGAAAAGGGAACCATTGTGCACTATTAGTAGGAATGTAAATTGGTGCAGCCACTGTGGAAAACAGTATGGAGCTGTGTTAAAAAATTACAAGCAAATTTATCATATGATCCAGCAATTCCACTTCTGGGTATTTATCTGAAGGAAACAAAAACACTAACTCGAAAAGACATATGCACTCCCATGTTCACTGCAGTATTATTTACAGTAGCCAAGACATGGAAACAGACTAAGTGTCCATCAATGGATGAATGGATAAAGAAACTGTGATATATATATATATATATATATATATATATATATATATATATATATATATGGAATATTATTCAGCCATAAAAAATGAAATCTTGCCATTTGTAATAACATGGATGGACCTTAAGAGCATTATACTAAGTGCAATAAGTCAGAAAAAAAACAAATACTATATGGTCTCTCTTATATATAGAATCTAAATCTAAAAATTAGCCCCCTCTCAGAAAAAACCCCAACCTTCCCCCCAAAATTAAGCTCATAGAGAAAAAATTTGAAAAAAAAATTATTAAAACCTTCTTAAGGCTTTGTGATTTTGGCAACTAAATCAAATCCATTTGTAAATGGTCAAATTATCCTTTTGTGGGGTTGTGAGTCATGCCCCACCTTTACAATTTTTCCTGGGTTGTGATAATTACAGAAATGGCAAGGTGTGGTCATCTTAAGTCTCTCAGGGGAAATTATCACACACACACACAAACACACACACACACACACACACACACATATATATATATATATATATATATATATGAAATATATTTTAATTGGGGAATTGGGGAAGGGGAACAGTGTTGGGGAATTGGGGAAGGGGACCAGCCAAGTTGTTGTTCTTCAATCTTAGCTGTGGGGGGCGCCAGTCACCATCTGGCTGCCTGTCAGCAGCTCGTGGCCTCTAAGCTCAAGGTGCTGTATTCAATCTTAGTTGCAGGTGGGCATAGCCACCATCCCATGTGGGAGTCGAACCAGGGGCCTTGTTGTTAAGAGTGCATGCTCTATCCACTGAGCCATCTGGGTGGCAGCTCAGCTCAAGGTGCTGAGTTCAGTCTTACTTGTGGGCAGAAATAGCCCACCATCGAACAGGCAGTCTTGTTTTTAGGAGCACGTGCTCTCACCAGCTGAGCCATCCTGCCACCTGTTGGCAGCTCAGCTAACGTGAGAGCATTACTGGCCCATGTGGGAATCGAACTGGTGGCCCTGTTGCTCAGAGCTTGTGCTCTTAAGCTAACTCAACCAACTGAGCCACTCGGCCGGCCCAGCCAATATTTTGAAAAGCCTGGACCAATTAGCTTTCGCCCTTGTGGGTGCGTCATGTAGCAACTGCACTAAAGTGCTGGACTTTCACTTGGGTGCCACTCAGTAAATGTCTTGGGAATGTCCAAATCCATTGCTTTGTATGAGACAGAGCTGAGCTATCCTTTTTTTTTCATGTAGGGACAGATTGTTATATTTGAATTAGTACTTCTTATTCAAATATGGATTCATGAAATCAGAGCGGAAACCTTTTAATACCAAGAGTAATAAAAGTCATAAAGGATGCTGCTTTTGTGCATAGTGGTTTACGTATGGATGGAGTAATTCCTATAGCTTCAAAAATGTGGGCTTTGTTTCATAACTAAGATTTCCTTTGTATGTTGGACTGCATCTAAAAACTCATTTGTTTCTTCTTCATATTGAGATGTAACAGCAAGTCAGAAAACCTCTTTTGTTTTCATACCATGCCTGCCTGTAGTGGAAACTGTGACATGATGCCTGCATCACCCACTTCAGGAATGAAGGACCTAGTCTCTTAGCTATCAGCTCTTCCTAGAAATTGCTCCTCTAGTTCTTCTTCCTAAGGTCATACTGTCTTCTCAGGTGCAGTCTACATCCAGTGACTGATTGATTCAGAGTCAAAATGCTCAACTTTCTCGCTGCAGTGGGAAAGAATTCTGAAAGGCCACCCCAGCTTCAGGGCTCCTGTAGGGTCACATGAAGTCTTGGCTGAGACCATATCACTGCCCAGCCTTATCCGCTGCCCAATTTGGCTTCCTTTTCCTTCCCTTTCAGGAATGCAGAACCCAAGTGTACACCCCAATAAATATTCTACACAAACTAATCTCAGTCTTAGGTGCTGCTTCTGAGGACCCCAACAAAGCTTCAATCATAAGCAACTTCTAAAGCATATCTATTATTAGCAAAGATGTTAACTTAAAACTTTAAATAAGGTAGCTTCTGTAAACCGAGTGCCCAGCATTGAAAAAAAAAAGATTAAATGAGTTAGTATGTGTAGAGTGTTTACATTAGTGCCTGTAAATAGTTACCTCTGTACGTGTTTGCTTATTTATGATTAATGACACATATTCTATATCTTAAATGGACATTTAGGGAAGGTGATTGTAGTTGGATCTTTGGAGACTGTTGATATTTTATTCCTTAACAGTGACAGAAGATGGCGCCAGAGGGTTGGCCATTTTAAGGAAGAGGTTTTAGCCATTCCATCCCCAACTGGATATTCCACAACCAGCTGTGCTGAAAATGTAGTTGACCACAGCATCCAGGCTTCGCCTTGTCTCTCTGCAGTCGCCTCAAAATGGACTCTTAAAGGGGAGATTCTGGCAGGAATCATTACATTCTAGAGCCCCCGGGGAATTCTCAAGTTGAAGAAAAATTTATTTACATGCCATGGATGAAAGGCAGTCAACTGCCTGTAACTTTACTTAGCTTTACAGTAGTGGACACACTCCTGTGACAAGCTACTTGTTACAGGAGATTGTGTGCACCTGAGTTAGGAGTAATGACTAATGTAAATAAGCAGGTAATAAAGGGACAGTTGGGAGGAGCATTTATAGGAGCGTATCACCTTGTCTCAGGCACAATCCCCAAGTGGCTTTCTAGAAATTTATGTCAAATTTATAAACAATGACACAGGTCAGGATATTTTTTCAAAACAGCTAATACATGCTGACATAAGTTTGCCTGAGTAATAGGAACTATTATTATAGCACATCTCAGCACAAAGCATTTAGGGACAGAGAAAGCATGATTTTAATGAGTAAACTGCAGGCTAAGGGCTATCTATAATCTTCTAATGCAGGGGTCAGCAAACTTTTGAGACAGAAGAGCCAGTCCTGTCCCTCACAACAATTTAAAAATTATTCGAGAGTCATAAAACAAATGAAATCACCATTATGTGAATAATATCCTTTAAAAATTTTATAAATGAAACTATGATAGTTTTATTTTCATTTTCAATTTTACTTNGCTGGCTGCTGGCTACATACGGTAGCCCATGGCAACCCACTGCCACAGGGACTGCAGCCTATGCCGTCGCCAGCGACTCACGGCAGCCCAGCTCCAGGTTGAGCTGCTGCACAGCATCTTAGCAGTAGAGGGCAGTGTCACTGGCCCTCACATGTGGGATCCGAACCGGGGTCCCCCGGCATCCCAAGCCAGCTCCCAACCATCGCGCCACTCGGCCGGCCCTCATCAATTAATTTTTGATGAGTGCCAAGACAATTTACTTGGGGAAGAACAGATTTTTCATCAAATGGTGCTTGGATAACTGCATAGCCATATGCAAAAGAATGGACTTGTACTCCTACCTCATCTCATGTATCAAAATGAAACAAAGGCATAAATATAAAAACTAAAACTATAAAATTCTTAGATGAAAACATAGGGTTAAAATCTATGGGCTGACCGAGTGGCTCAGTTGGTTAAGAGCTTGCTCACGCTTGAGCAACAGCAGTTCGATTCCCAGCCTGAGCTGAGCTGCCAACAGGTGGCTGGATGGCTCAGCTAAAAAAAAAAAAAAAATCTTTATGATCTTGGATTTGACAAAGAATTCTTAGATATGACAACAAAAACACGAACAACGAAAGAAATAGTGAATAAGTTAT